ATCACGTTCCTTGTTAATAAAATTATTAGGTCAAGTTATATTATTATATGTTTGGGGGTAAAACAAATTTTAAGTTAAACTACAGTTGAAACTAATTACATATTTGGATGAATATGGGGATGAAATTGGAATATTCAAAAGTTCAGTACTAATTTAGAAAGAGGGTCATGGTTTAGGGATGAAATTAGAATGTTCAAAAGTTTTAGGGCTAATTTAGAATGAGAGTCATAGTTTGGGGATGAAATTTGAATATTCAAAAGTGTAAAGACTAATCTAAAATGAAAGTTATAGTTTGGGGACATATGATGCAGTTAACTCATTTTATTTTCAAAATATGAACTCCATTGTAAATTTGGATTCCATTGTTGTGATATGTCTAGGAAGCGCTTTATACGTTGTTTGTTAAGTAGGTAGCCTCGCTTCTTGCAAAAGCAAACCCCAATACACTTTCTCGGATTCCTTTCTTTCAACATCACCCAATTCCAGTTTGCCTAAATCATCTATAATTTACATTATAATTACTACAAATATTCTCATTAATGTTAATATGTTATACCCTAACTAGAAGGGCCAAAGCAAGGTAACTTCAAAGATCCATAATCATATGATCTATCATCGCTCCATAGAAACCAAGAGCTTCGATCAATGGCATACAAAACTTGATATCCTTGTGATAGTCAATCTTTAATGCACAACAACCTTATATCTAAGGTATATGTGGCCAGTGCTCTTATGACTGTCGTAGAAACCCCTCGTAGTTGCACATTGACATGGTCGAGATGATGCGACGACACAGAGAAACCAAACGAAACACTCGATACGTCCGCCTAAGATGTATCAAATCATAAATGGAGTTTTCACCGGTAAATTTCAACAGCTCGTCAAGTATATCATAACATGATGAACTCACATATTGAGTCGGTGAATAAGCATAGCATGATAGGTCTGTAATGACATAAGTCTAGCTTTCTAAACACTATATTTCATCCTATGAATAAATGTCCACGTGGCTATCGATCATTCAAAATATATAATGTGACTTCTCAAGGATAGAGAAGATGACTCTTTCCTCTCTCCCTCACCTGACTCCCACTACAAAAAAAAATTCAAATTACCGACAGAAAAATCCTCACGAATTTAAAATCTGTCACAATTTACCGATAAAATAAATTATTCCGTCACAAAGTTATGACTTTATTGTAGTTTTTGACCGAATTATTTTTTCATCAGAAAGTTTATTCATTTCAATAAAAAAATATCAATTTAATTTATGACGGAACAATGATTCCGTCGAAAATTTTGTTCACTTTAATAAAAATATACCAATTTAAATTGTGATGGAATAATCATTCCATCGGAAATAACAAAATAAAAAATATTATCACCATCGGTAAACAATTATATTTATATGTATTTATCCTTTGCTTTTTTTTATATGCATTTATCTTTTTTTATTTTATATTGTAATTTTAGATTGTAAAATGCTGTTTGTCTAAATGATTTAGCTTTCTACTTTTATGACTTATATATAACATACTCAATAATCTTCTTATAACATAAATAATTTTTTTCCTCTACAAAGGTTATTGATTTGCATATACTTAATGATAATATATAGTGCAAATTGCTTCATTTTTTTTATATAGTTGTTTTTAATTAATTAATAAATTTCTTTTTTTATGATATTGATAACATAGTTATCCTTTTTTTACATTTATAAGAAAAATAATATTTTAAACTTTATTTTTTGTTTTCTTTTTTCAGAACTCTGAAATTTTCTACGAAATTTGTGAGTTGAGGTAAGTTTGAATTTATTTTTAAAACATAATGCTATCAATTTATTAGTATTATCCTTTTAATAAAAAAAGTACAGAATATGTCAAAAAGTAAAGAAAATATTTTTTCATGTAACATAGTTTAATAATGTTTTTCGCATATAAATAAAAAACAATAATTAAAAAATATTTCTGGTTGGTGCACTTGGTAAGGGGTTGGATGATTTTTTTATATGATAATTTTTAAAAAATATTATTTTTAGAAAAATGTATTTTAAATTTGTGACGGAATTTATGGTCCCGTCACAAATTTATGACAGATCCACCTATTTCGTCACAAATTTGTGTTTAGAAAAAGTATTTTAAATTTGTGACGGAATTTGTGGACCCGTCACAAATTTCTGACAAATCCACCTATTCCGTCAAAAATTTGTGATGGGTCCACATGTTCCGTCACAAAAAAAATATTCTTTAGAAAAAATTATTTTAGATTTGTGACGAAATTTGTGGACTCGTCACAAATTTGCACAAATTTATGACATATCCACCTATTCTGTCTCAAATTTGTGACGAGTCTACATGTTTCGTCACAATTTTTTTGGAGTTTTTTTTACATGCTTCCACTTCCTTCAATTTCCCTCCATTGCACCATAAAATTTTAAATTTATCCGCTTTTTACCTAATTTTTTCCTATTTAAACCTTTCTACACTCATTTTTCTCTCATTTTTTTCTTCTCATTTCATCTCTTCTTATTAACTCATTTTTCTCCCCAAAAGTTCTTCTCTTAATTTCATCTTCTTTTACTATCATTATTATCAATATTGATGTAAGTTTTAGTTTTTGTTCAATGTAATTTCTTTTAATATATACTTTGTTTATTATATTTTTTTAATTAATCACTAACATCTTTCATTATATTTTGTAGGTTGCTTGGAAATTTTTAAATGATAACAATTCTTTAGTATGCAAACTTTGTATTTTACTCTCTTTTTTTATTATTGAATATTGTATTTTTTATGTATAGTTTACAATCATATGTTTATATTTATTAGAAATATTAAATTGTGAAATATATGTTGTAAATCCATATTTAATCTTAGTTAATATGGTGAATTTAATTTTGCATCATATATTATTATTATTTTTATTAAGGACTTGTTAGTATTATTATTATTATTATCATCTATTTTTTTAAATTAATGTAATTATTTTAATTGTATTATTATTAATTTTTGGCACATTAACTAATTAAATAAAATTTTGGATTCATAATATTTTGAAGGGAATGAAAAAAATTTAGGTATAATCCCGATAAATTTTCCCTCCTTTTTTTAAAAAACTTAAGATTTAAATTTCCGACGGAAAACATGTAATCCATCGGAAATTAAAAATTTATATTTTCTTTTTATATTTTTAAATATACCGCCGGAAAAGATATGTTCGTCGGAAAATAAAATAAAATATTTTATTTATATATAATATTCCGACGGATTTTAAATTTTCTACCAGTAATATACTGACGTATTTCCGTTAGTAAATTTTTGATGGATTACTTTATTCCCTCAGAAAAATTAGTTTCGACCAGCATTTTACTGACCACTATCTTCCTTCATAAATTTCGTTAATAAAATTAAATTCCGTCATAAATTTCATCGGAAATTCCTTAAGCAATTACACATTTTTTTAGTGCCGTATCAACCATAGTTCTTCGTTTAAACCATAAAGAGTAATTTATCATTCGTCTATTAAAACTTTCAATCTTTTCATAGTTTAAACCCTTGTCAACCGTTAACTCACGCATTGTACATCAATACTTATAATAACTCATTTTATTATTATTAACCAAATGTCATGACTATTGAATTGATATCCCTCTTAGGTTTTTAATCAAATATTCATTTAATCAATCAGCCGTTATTGCTGAATATTTGGTCCAGCTTTGTACAAACATGAAGCCAAAATTATTGGATAATGGGGATAACTTTTATCAATTAAGAAATAATTAATTTGATCTATGTTTTTCCTCTTTGTGTGTTGTGTTTGTTGGAGCAAAGCACAGAAGCCAGACAGAATTTGTGTCAGTAACAGTAGCCAAGGGGACATTAGAGATAGAGCATGAGAAACTGTAGTAGCTGATGAAGCGCGTGGATTTTGAATAATGAGGAAGACAAAAGAATCTGAGAAGTCAGGTCCACATGCTGACAACCCGTACTTTGTCTCGTTGTGTGTGTTGGACAACAACACGCGCTCAGTCACGTCAAACTTGGGGAAACGGGTCACACATTCCCTTCTCTTGTCAGTACAGAAACCCTTTGACTTGCCTCGTTTCTTCCGAATGTCTTCTAACGTTGTTGTCTTTTCTATTGGTATATAATATTATAATGTATTATCGATTCGATAAATTTTTTAATTATTTTATAATAAATATTTATTTAAATGTAGTATTTGATTTCATGACCTCCAATAATAATCATCATCCAGTCGTAAAAGTTATTTGATTCATACAACATTGTTGTATTTGAGTGATAGTCTTTTTATGTTCCTTTTCTTTTCTATTTTTAATGGTTTAATTGGAGTATAAAAAATAATTAAAATTTTGAGTTTTAAATTTTAAAAGTATATCAAAATTAAATATTTATGAAGAGTTTTATAATTTTATTTGATTCGATAAAACAAATCTATACTTAAATCATTAAATAGAAAGACATAACATCCGTGGTTCACACTATATATATATAATATTTCAAATTATATGAGACAGATTATAGGAAGATATATATATATATCTATTAAATTATTTTAATATAAAATATAAAACATGGGATTGTCTATAATATGTTGATTTTTGGTCAAATAAGACTCATATGAATAATAATATTTTTTTAATCACGGATTTGGTAACAAATATTTATCATTACCAAAGTAGATTGACACATTTTCCTGTTTCTTCTCTGTCTCACAATGTAATAATGCAGCAATCATATACTCGATCCAGCTCACATATCTTTAAATTAGATTTTAAAAAAAATATCAAAGATAATATTAAGATTAAGATTCGATTGATTGATAAACGAATGTTAATTTTTGTCTGGAAAGATCCCTAGATAGCTTAAAATGACTAGCATATAATCCAAGTATAAAAACCATCCTGCAACATAAAAACTGAATTGCGGTTCCTTTTGTAAAGAAGAAATGAGGCATACAAATATAATTTGTGAAAAATATAGCATTTAAAACACATAATTTACAGAGTGCATATCATATAGATACAAGCTCTATATATAAACTGGTGATACAGTGAAAAGAAAACACATTCATAATTATAATATGCCAATTTCGTAAGAGAAAGAAAGCCTAGCAGTGCTAGGGTTTCAGTGGATTTCTTGTATGAGGAATCATAAGCCCTTGATGTCTTCGGCTTTAATCATAGTTAATTTTTCCTTAACAGAAGCTACACTAACAAAAAGAGCTGATCTAATTCATAACCTATTAGGGATTGCTGGTGGATGAAGAGCTGAAACTGGAAACATCTGTCCATGCAGTTTCACCCCAGTACTGATGATCATTTCTCGGAACACCGAGAAATTGCCTTGAAAATGTCAATTCTTGTTGGTTATTATAGCCATCCATTTTCACCGGAGCCATCTGTGTTGGTGGTGCTGAGCTTGATATATTAGGTCGAATCTGATGTCCAGCTCCGACACCGTATCCCGATGGCTGCTCATCACCTGCAGTTTCATATTGATATAGACCGGAAGATTCCGAGCCTCCAAGGAAGGGAAACTGCGGCGCTTGCTGTAGCCGCCACTGATCGAAACCGGTGGCATCCCCATTCCAAGCACTTCCTATTTGTAAACTTAAGTCGCTTGGCACTCCAAGTGGAGCTGAAATTGTGCCATAGTTCAACCCAAAACCAGTAAGGTGCTGCAAAGGAGCCATGAACCTCAGTGGAGGAACCTGAGGTCCATGGCCTAAAATATCAGTGCTTGCTATACTCTTTGAAGAAATTGTACTTGAGGAACTAGAAGCTGCTTTCCGGTCATCGGTGACTGCAGATTTCGAGCTACTTCCTTTGCTTCTTTTGTTCCTACGGCATCCACCGCCTACCGGAACATTTCTTAAGGCACCACCTCTAGTCCAGTATCTTTTACAAGCTTTGCAAAAGTAACGAGGCTGTGTGAGATTATAGTTGTTGAAGTAGCAGAACTTGGTGTTTGTCGACTCACATCTCGGGCATTTTAATGCGACTTCCGGCATCGGTATATTAGCCAAACGAGCTCGATCGGTCATCGAACCAGGCCGGATCGAGCCTCCTCCATCTACTCCAATCGGTTGCGGAGCTGCAGGTGGTGGTTGTGGAGGTCCAGGAGGAGGAAGAAGCTGATGAGAGCTCGGACTGCTACCAGGAACAGCTTGATGATTTGTTCTAAGCTGTTAAAATACAAGGAAAACACAAAAAAAGAAATCAAATACCTGGTATATTCAAACCAAAAAACAAAAGGTAATAAGAATATTACTTATGTTTTTTGAATTCCTTTGCTTTTGTGGGAAAGAAACCATGTAAACAAATTCAAAGAAAGAACATACTTGTTGCCAGTGGGCAGGATCAAGATAAGCTGGGATGGAGGTAAAAACCATGGCTCTCCTGATCTTTGATTTCCTCTTGTAAAAGGATTTTGGTTGCGTCTGTGTTAAGATGGTAGTGGAGAATCACATCAAATAAAGAGGGAAAGGGAAAAGAGAGATGTTGAATGGAGAGAGAAGCAAAAGAATTAAAAGGAGGGACCAATTATAAGTCTCCTGTTACAATCTAAGAGATATTAATGGTTAAATAATTATTGTTATTCATTTAGATTTTGAGTTTATTTAAGCGTTTAATATAAACTGATTAAAAGTATTTAAATATATATTGTTTTATATTTACCTAGATTAATAAAAAGACTAGATTATGTTTTGACACAAATAGAGCCGTTAGCTTTATTAACAAATAAAATATTCAAAATTATAATGAAGTTCATAAATTAAAAATATAATAAGACTATTTTTCTATAGCTATTGAAACAATAATTAACCACTCGAGGTCATATAAGAGAAATATTAAAATTCATCTAAAAAATTTGAATAAAAATATATACGAATAAATCTGACTACATCAACAAACGAACCATAACAAATGATTAAACTACTAAAATGATCATTGATAATTGCAAATCAAAATTGAGTGTACTAACGTTTGAAATCCTTACTTCCAAAAATCAAGAGTTAAAACACTAATAATGTTTAGAAAATTACTTCAACACTAACTTATACATGGTAAGAGCATAAAATGTATATCCAATTCATAATTGTTTTATGAATCTGTATTTGATAGTATTCAAAATTTTTAATTCTATTTACAGTTAGTCAATGATATGGTAACATATTATAGAAGAACTTTTAAAAGCTGATCTATTTAGAGTTTGTTTTATTGATAATGGTGCATAATTTATTAATTTTAGATATTATTAGTAAATAAGATTTTTGCATATCATTAAAAATAAATTAAATAAATTTAATTTTAAAATGTGATAATAACATGTCATTATCTAATTCATTGATAATTTATAAACTTAATACATTTTTAGTGTATCAAATTTAAATTATTTTTATTTAACTTTATTTTTAATAATATAAAAAATTAATTCACATACAATATATAATTTTATTTATGCATAAAATAATAGCATTTTATTATTATATAATACTTTTTCTTGTTTCATTTATCTATGGATCGAATGACTCGCTTGATTTGATCAACCTGACCTGGGTTGAGTGAATTTAGACATAAAAAATCTAATTTACGAGTCGATTTGATTTGTATAAAATTTAAATAATTTAATATATTTTATTTAAAGTTAATTATAAAAATATATTCTATAGGTTTGAGTTTAATATTTTTTAAAACTGAACCTCAAAATCAATACCTTTTTTTTTGGGGTTTAATAATTAATGTCATTAATATTCTAGTGATTGCCGCGTTAAATGTGATTAGTGGATATATGTTGCATGGATAAATTTGTATCTTTGAAATATTGGAGATTTCACATTTTATTATTATTAATATGATATACGTATAAAGTAAATATGTTCAAAGTTAACTGTTAATAATTTGATATTAAAAGCTCGAACTCCTGATATTTCTTATAATCAAACTCAATAACTTAAAGAATAATAATATTTATTTTATTATTGAAGTCATTGAGTTGGTGATCAAAGTTGGTTTTAAATTAGGTTTTTGGATAGTCCCCGACCGACTGAACCTTTTTCCCGGTTCGGTCTAGTTGCCTGCCCCACACGTTTGCTTTATTTCTAAATGGGATTGGAATATATAAATTTCAGTGCTGTACCATTCCACACTCTCCTTTTGAGGCGCTTGGCATCACTCATTGTCGATTTAGGTCCCCCAAATAGACTGCCTACATAAAGCTTCTATGCTATTTTTCAACTTTTATACATTCACTAATCTCATTCTTAATTAATCGTATTATTATTTCTTCGCTGAAACAGAAAACTAAAAAAATAAAGGGTAAAATATATAAAAGATAGTCAACTATATCATAATGTTCTGTTGAGTCCCTCGATTTTTGACGTTTATAAAATGATATTTCGACTATAAGGTGTTACTTTGTTGAGTCCCACGCTGCTTCAAATTCATCATTTCTATTAAAAAATGAAGATTGTCTCAACTAGATGTTAACATGTTCACTGAGATATGATAAAAATCTGATTCCATAATTGTTTGAGCTATATTTTGTGGATTGAGCCTCTGTTTACATTATGTCATTGAGTCGGTTTTTGAAACATTATGTCGTCGATCCAGTGCATGAAAGCGATGATGGTGTGAATAGACATCATTAAAAAATGATTTTATCATATCTCAATCAGCAGGTTAACATTCATATTAGACGGCCATCAAAATTTTAACGGAAAATGACGAGTTTGGAACATATGAATATTTGGATGACCATTTTGTAACTTGTAATAGTCGAGGGACTCAATAAAGCAACATCCTAGAGTCGGAGAACCATTTTGTAACTTTTAATAACTAAGAGACTCAATAAAGAAACACCTATAGTCGGGGGATCATTTATGTACTTTAACAAAAAATATATTAGCTACCCAAAAATATATATAAGGGTGTCAAAAAACCTATAATTGTTAACATTCATATTAGTCGGCCATCAAAATTTTAACGGAAAATGACGAGTTTGGAACATATGAATATTTGGATAACCATTTTGTAACTTGTAATAGTCGGGGGACTCAACAAAGCAACATCCTAGAGTCGGAGAACCATTTTGTAACTTTTAATAACTAAGAGACTCAATAAAGAAACACTATAGTCGGGGGATCATTTATGTACTTTAACAAAAAATATATTAGCTACCCAAAAATATATATAAGGGTGTCAAAAAACCTATAATTGTTAACCGGTATAACTGTTGAGTTAATCGATCGGATGAAATAGCCAAGAGGGGGTGAATTGGCAATTAAAATTTTGGTGGAAGCTTTGATAGAAAATAGAAAAGGGTTGCACAATGATTTAGAGTGATTCAACTTTCTCAACCAAAGTCTGTGTCCACTACCTTAGTTATCCACACTAAGGATTTTCCACAAATTCACTAATTTGTCTTTCTTTGAGTACAAAGAGTAACCTTACAACTCCCTCAAGAATTATACCCCAAATTCTTGAGACACTCTCTTCTCAAAGAGAAAATTACAAACTTTGCAAACTTACAGAAAAACCTCACAAGGTAGAATGTTTGCTCAATTCTAGAGAAAGAACACTCAAGAATGAATACAATTGAGCACAAATGGTGTTCTTGAAAGCAAAATGAATATTGAATGGATTTTGGCTTGAATTGCTCAAACAATAAGTTTAAGGCTTTCTCTCTTTGAATTCTTTCTCAAAACTTGTTTCTTGTTATTCATCAATGACTTCAAGACTTGTTTAAATATCCCTTGAATGAATTCTGAACGTTGGGAATGATCATGAAGTCAATAGAGCTATTGTTGTATGTTTTCCACTTCAAAAAGCTATTGGGAGCATATGGGTATCGGTACTCCTTCATAGGGGTATCGATACTACATGTATAAAATTCAATATTTCAACCGTTGCAAAACTGATGGTATCGGTACCTCTCAAGGTGGTATCGATATTACTATGTAAAGAGGTATCGATATCGGTCATGGTATCGGTACCCATTTTGCATTCTGTTATTTCTCGGAGTCAAAATCAAAATAAGGGGTATTAGTTCCGTTGGCTAGTATCGGTACCTCTATATAATTAGGGTATCAGTACCTCTTTTGCATTCGATGTTTGAGGGGTATCGATACTCGTTAAAGAGGTATTGGTACTTCCCTATTAAAAACTCAATTTTGACTCGATTATGGTTCGAAATACTTTGTAAAAATGTTTCAAAAATATTTTAAGAGTAAAACACAATTTTTCATTTAAGTAAAGAGTAAAATTGATATTTGAAAACTTGGAGTAATATTTGTGATATTCGATTAATTGAATCGAATATTATATTTGAAATTAAATATAAAATCTTAAAATTCATTAACACTTTATTTGTTATATCGAAACATCAAAATGTTTTCAACAATCTCCCCCTTTTTTATATAACAAAACATTTTTTAAATTTTAAGATTTTCTTTTGAAAAATCATTTTTGAAAGATTACTCCCCACTGCCCCTTACTATATTCTCCCCTTTTATTAAATCTAAAAGACTCTATGATTTATTTTAAAACAAGTTTACCAAATTGATGTATATATTTGTATATAACTGCTAAGATCAAAGTCAAGTGAAATATTAGCCATTAGTCCACATAATCAATATTCATAAACAATATGCAATTGGGAATTGGTCATAATTGATCTAAAATGTAAATGATGCATAAACTAATGAAATAATCATTAATTAAGTTCAAAAGTCTAATTAAACATCCAAAACACAAACAATCCAAACAACAAAATATCCCAAAAAAAATATTCAAAAAAACATCTAAATATTCAAATACATAAATTCATCAAAATGTTTAAGACAATATTAGGTTCAATGTTCAAACTAAGAAAACTAGCAAGGCAAGGTCAGTGATCCATCGGTGGATTGAGAGGAGAAAAATGTGCTTGCAAAGAAGCTACATCTTGAGTAAGTGCATCGACCCTACTATTGAGTTCGTCAAAGCGAGCTCGAGTTTCCTTTTGGTTCTCTAAGTGTTGAGCCGTGAGTTGGGACTCTAAGGATGCAAGCCTTAAGTCAAATGTCTCCATAAATGATTGAAAGTATGAAGGCATCGGACTCTCTTGCCTGGTTGGCTCGTCTCGGGCTGGTTTACGGGATCATCAACATCCCGTAAGAGGTCTTCAAGCTCTTGAGCAGCAACCTAAGCCGGAGAAGCTTGTGAAGAGCTAGCATCTGGGTTTTCTTTGTTGCGCGATTCTATTGGTCTTTGTCACCCGCGCATCCCGATTTTCGTAAAGATGTGAAGTTGATTTCGGTGCTTAGAGGGATGGCTACGTGTAATTCTACCTTAAGACCTTCTTTGATAAATATATTACTAAGTAGACAACCATAAACTAATGTTTCAATACGTTTATAAGGAATGTTGTTTACGGTTTCTATAAGTTTCCCAAAGATAATTTGAGGGAGATTTATTTTCTTACTTTGTTGGATACAATGTATCCACCATAAGTCAAGAGCTCTAG